TTCCGAGATTAATTCAAGTTAAGCTCAAACAACAAATTTTTTGCATAATGTCAATTACCAAGTAAAATAAAGGCATGGTTACAGCAAGGCACTTATAATGGAAGTAAACAGTGGCAGCACCCGGAGTGTTTAAAGGCCAAAATGTGAAGCTCATATGCTAAGCCATTGCATTAATTCTGCTCTACAACATGTATTTTTTTTTACCCTTAAATCATAATTTTTGTGGCAGGACTGCTGTTCTAGGCAACTGAACCTAAAAGTTATTTGTCACTGACGTTGTATCTCTGGAAAGTGCATCTACATCAACCAAGGTGTTCCTGTTGCAAGGTAAAAGCATAGCAGATGGTTTCGTGCTGGTTATTGTCATCAGAAATTAAGAATGTAAGCAGACAACAGGAAGGAGATTATTTGTATTCTTCTGCTGATTTAAGACAACATCTGAATAAAGCAGTACAGGTTTGGATCAACATGAGGGTAAGTAATGATGAAAGAATTTTAATTGTAATTTTACCATAGTAAGTGCATTATTGGACCCTTGTGTTTTTAAATGAATGAATTAATGGATAAAAAAACAACCGGTGCTTCATGTGGCAGAACTGCAGTGAATCTGAGGAAGTTACAAATCACCAATTCCAATACGACTTGAAAAAAGTACTGAATGTAGACTCAAATATACACTAGTCCTCAACACCTAAGAGACATGACAGTGACAAACAAGAAACAGCTCATTTTTGAGGAGAGCAATCACATGCTTATTTTCTAAAATAAAAATAAAACTTAAAACCTCAATATTGCAATTAATCAAGGTTGACTTAAAGGGGTCATATGATGCTTTTTTAAAGATCATTATTTTGTGTATTTGGTGTAACAGAATATGTTGACATGTTTTAATGTTCAAAAAACACATTATTTTTCAAGTACTGTACATTATTGTAGGTCCTCTATGCCCCACCTCTCTCAAACGCTTCGTTTTCTACAAAGTCCCTCCTTCTGATAAGCGCAGTCTGCTCTGATTGGCCAGCTGACCCACTGCATTGTGATTGGCCGAACACCGCAAGCACTCGTCGGAAATGTAACGCCCCTTACCATAATTGCGAGCTTCATCTTTCAAAATAAATGTAAAGACAGTAAATAATGTCATTAGTTTTACCATCAGTTCAAGCCCGAAAGGGAGTGATGAAGCTGGTATGTGTTTGTGATGTGTCTCTCTCTCTCTCTCTCTCTCTCTCACTCTCTCTCTCTCTCTCGCTCTTTCGCTCTCTCTCGCTCTCTCTATCTCTCTCACACACGCAAACACGCACGCGCGCGCACACGCACACACACACGATGCGCAAAACTCCGCATTTGAACAGTCAATAGCAAATACTTAAACTAATAACAAAACAGTAGCTGATTAGAAGCACCAGATTGTCATAGCAAAGTCAGAATTGCCTCCTCTCCGAGGTTCACGAAACGGTCGTCCATAAAATGCATTGCTGTTCTGTTGTAAGTAATCTTAAAGATTCCTAAATGCATCTACTTTCAGAAGGCCAAATAAAGTGCTTTTGCTTTCAAAGTTTTGACCTGGAAATTATATGACACCAAACCAATGATTCTTTATAAATGAAACATGAATTTTATTGGCTAATCTAGATTACATCAAAACTACGCTAAAACACACATACACACAAACATACAGTTTCTTTAGAATGAGAGTTGACGGAGTTTCATAGTTCTACCTCGTTTTCACGAGTGATTTAAATTCACCTGAAAGAATTCACAAAGCAGAGGATTTTAGCTTATGTTTACTGCTTAAATCAGCTCGTTCACCAGTTCAGCAGAGATAAGATTTTGTTCGTTTACTTGCGTTCTGCTGGGTTGACAGCTGAAAAGCTGAGATGAGTCTCGTGGCTCCTGGCTGGCTGCTGACGGAACCCCGGAGCTTTCGGATTGGTTGCTGAGGTGACGTTTGGATGACGTCGTTTCGGGAAAGCCCTCGTTGCATTGGTTGTTTGCCTGATGACGGAAGAGGCTTCAACAGTCCTATGAAAAGTCTCTGTTTTAGCAAGGCTTTGTGTTCTGCAGAGTTATGAAGTTTCAAACGGAGTATTTGAGTTCTGGATCCCCGTGATGTTACGGCAGGGGGTGCCGGGTTACAGTGGAGCTTCGGGTTCTTCTGAGAGATAGACTGCTTTAGCAAGGCTTTGTGTTCTGCAGAGTTACGAAGCTTCAACTGAAGTGTTTGAGTTCTGGAGTTCCGCGATGCTGTGATGGTAAGCGGTTGAGCACAAGGTGGACTGCTCTAACACGGCGAAAGGCGACAGCAAGCAAGCAAATCTGTTCTGCATTGGGTTTTTAATCCACTGCATAAGTCCGTCCCACGACGCGACCTTCCAATCGACTTGTTGCAGGGCGGAGCGTGCCCACATTACCATAATGCTTCCATTTATCATGTGGGGAAATGAAGATTTGCAGATTTTGTTAATAACTTCTATATAGTGTCGTACAACACATACTGTTTGAAATAACAGCTTTTCACTTATTTCAATATTCTGCAATTATCACAAGTTTACGTTCAACACTACTGAAACCACGGCTTCTTTCTTTGCGTGCACATTTGGGTGGCATTATGCAAATATTTCCACATAGTGAGGTAGATATGTGGGGGCGTGTTAGAAAGA